CTGAAATCAAACCGAACCGAAAAAGAACCGAACCGTTTCTAACCCGAAATCGTTTCCAACCAGAAACCGTTTGAACCGAGGTAAAAACCGTTTACACCGAACCGTTAACAAACTGCAAACCGTTTGCACCGAACCGTTTATAAACCGAACTGTCTATAAATCAAAATGTAATTTCGATCTCACAATAACTCATCAAATCATGATTATGACACATCAATTAGATGATTGAATAAGAAACAACTAATAATGTGATAGTAAAACAATAATAATTCATTAATACACTAAACTTTTATAATCTACGTTACTTCGTAATAAACTAGTAACATCAGTATGACTAAACTTGAAAATAACATGATATGCATTTTAAAAACGATGAAAATTTGTATATAATATAATGCCTAAATATGAAGTGATGAAGTCTCGCCTTGATATAAAACTTGTTAACCAGCAAAAGGTTAGTTAGCAAGTAATATGAAATTTCAAACCAAAATTGTTTAACTACTCGAATCCAAATGACTCGATTAAAAACCGACTTTTTAAAATAAAAAAACCGTTCCGAACAATAATTTAGTAAACTTGAAATGGAACTGAACCGAATAAAATTATATCGTATAAAAGGCGAACTCGTTAACAAACCGAACCAAAATAAAACTGAACCGAAAAAGAACCGAACCGTTTCTAACTCGAAACCGTTTCCAAACCGAAACTGTTTGAACCGGTATAAAAACCGTTTACACCGAAGCGTTAACAAACCGCAACCCGGCTGTACCGAACCATTTACTTCCCGAACCAAATTAAAACTGCTCAAGAATAAACCGAAACCGAATCGAACCGATAACTATTTAAACCGAACTGAAGCCGACCCGCGATACATTTAAACCGATTTCAAACCGACCCGATTTCAAACCGAACCAAACCCGAACTGTCAAACCTTTTTGGCAGTGCTATACGTAGGTAGTAGTAGTCATAATAGTAATAATAATAATAACAACAACAAAACAACAACAACAACAACAACAACAACAACAACAACAAAAACAGTAGTAGTAGTAGTAGTAGTAGTAGTAGTAGTAGTAGTAGTAGTAGTAGTAGTAGTAGTAGTAGTAGTAGTAGTAGTATAGTAAGTAGTAGTAAATAACTAGATATCACAAGTAGTAGTAACCAATTGTAATACTAATAGTTCAAAAATGAAAGTCTTACTCTTTGTTTATTTATCAAGGAACAAGCAAAGACCAACTTGGTTTCTTGGTTGATGTAGGATTACGGAAGGAATATCAAGGGAGGAAGAAGGAGGTGGTGCGTCCAGTAGCCCGCAAGGCGGGTTGAGGGGTGGTGGTGCGGCACGAGTCGGGTGGATGAATAGGTGAGGAAAGAATTTGGAGTTTCTTTACTGATTTGGGATGAAATTAAGCATAAAACTTCAACTATTTATAGGCAATTTGGATTGGAAATTCTGGTTGAAACTCATTTTTGGTAAATGATTATCATGAGGCCACATATGACCGGAGGAGGATTGAGGTAATTGTAATGGTGTTTCACCTTATTTTTGACACTTGGAGGAAGGGAGGTGGTAAAAGGTGAAGTTGTGGAGGAGGAGCTTCCATGAAGGTGCTATGGTGAATGGAAGAAATGATACTTACGTATCATGAGGAGAAAGATGAGAAGGTAGCATTGAAGAAGGATGCTAGCTAAGGTTGACATATGCTTTTGTGTAGTACTTTTGTGTAGTACTAGTACACTAAAAATATGAATTAGACTTGAGTATATAAAATAAATTAATTTGATATTTTGTCATTTGAATCGGGTGCAAGGTATAAGTGGTTGAAAATTTGATTTGGATACGACAAATTTTAACTTGACTCGTATAATTAAAATCATTATAAAATATAGGTATAAAATTATCATATAAATATTTTGTAAAATATTTCGGAAATCCCTATTTAATGACTTTAAAATATGGGGTATTACATACATTGCCTTGGCTTTTCAGTCCACTCGAGAGAGAGAAGCTATTTATCTATCTTGCCATCTCTGAACACTCTCTAAGTGTCGTCCTGCTTGCTGAACTGGACGGCCACCAGATCCTAGTCTACTTTATTAGCCATGTACTTCATAACGCTGAGCTGAGGTATCCCCCTATTGAAAAATTTGGCTTGGCATTATACATGGAATCGAAAAAGCTGCAGCCATACTTCTTGGCACATTTCAATTGTAATCTACACAGACCAACCTCTGAAGAAGCCATTTACAACTCTAGAGGCAAGTGGCCATATGCTTAAATGGGCCTTGGAAATGAGAGGCTTTGACATTGCATTTGAGCCAAGAAAAGCAATCAAGGGACAAGCCTTTGCTGATTTTTTAGCTGAGATGACTCGGCCGGATCTTCAGCCGGCCGGAGACCAGATCTGGAAGGTGTTCGTGGATGGTAGTGCAACAACTACTGGCTGTTGTGCAGTCGTCATATGTCAGTTTCCTGAGGGAGATAAGTTTGAGTACGCTCTGAGATTTCAGTTTCAAGCCTCTAATAATGAGGCCGAGTACGAAGCCCTCCTGGCCGGCCTTAGAATGTGCAAGGCGGCAGGAGCAACAAAAATTGATGTAAGCTCGGACTCCCTACTTGTAGTCGGCCAGGTGAATAGAGACTTCGAGGCAAGGGAGCCGGCTATGATGAAATATCTGAAGATTGTAAAGGAGGAGGCTAAGGGCCTAGATCATTTTACTCTACAACAGGTTCCTCGTTCTTCCAATCATCAGGCGAACGCCCTCTCTAAATTAGCATCCTCAACATCATGTGATACCCCAAGGTCGGTATTTTGGGAGGTAAAGGAAAGGAGGAGTATTGATGTTGAGCCAGTACATATCATTGATAGAAGCTCCACTTGGATGGACGGGATCATATCTTACCTAAAGGATGGATTACTCCCGGCCGATCCTAAAGAGAGTTGGCTGATGAAAAAGAGAGCGGCCTGGTTTGAAATGAAGCAAGGAGAGTTGTTTAAAAAGGCATTTGTGAAGCTATACCTGAAGTGTATCAAACCTGAGAAAGGGCATGATGTCTTGGAAAATCTTCACCAGGGGCAGTGCGGCTCTCATATTGGAGGACGAGCCTTGGCGGAAAAGGCTGCCCATCTGGGCTACTATTGGCCGAGTTTAAAGTCGGACGCCATGGAAATGGTAAAGAAGTGTGACAAGTGTCAGAGATTTGCAACCTTGATCCACCGACCCGCCAACAGTCTTTCGGCCATTAGTAGTCCGCTTCCCTTTGCCTAATGGGGGATGGATATTTTAGGACCGTACACACCAACATCCGGTCAAAGGCGTTATGTGTTTGTAGCAGTAGACTACTTCACAAAGTGGGTGAGGCCGAGACTGTCCGGGGCATCAAGTGGACGAATGTTTCAGCTTTCATATGGAAGAGTATCATTACACTCTTTGACGTTCCTTAGTCTATGGTGTTCGACAATGGACCCCAATTCGAAACGCCTCAACTCAAAGAATGGTTGGAGGACCAAGGCATAGCTCATTGCTTTGCTTCAGTCGGCCGGCCACAAACCAATGGTCAGGTAGAGGCATAGATTAAGTTGATCTCCAATGGAATTAAGCGCAAGCTTGAAAGGGCAGGTGGCTTATGGGCTGATGAGTGGGTTAATGTGCTATGGTCCATACGAACCACGGCCAAGAGTTCCACAGGAGAAACTCCATTCTTCTTGGTCTATGGTGCCGAGGCTGTCCTCCCAATTGAAATGTATGAGCCCACCCTTAGGGTGATGCTATATGATGAAGCGGCTAATTGGTAAGCCATGAAGACCGCCCTAGACTTCCTTCCTGAAGCTAGGGGCAACGCGGTGCTTAGACACGAAATCTATCGTCTACGGATGACAAGGGCATACAATCGTCGGGTGTCAAAGCGACCGATAAAATTGGGAGATCTGGTCCTAAGGAAGATGGAGGCTGTGGGACGAGAAAATGAGGATGGGAAGCTGACCCCAAACTAGGAAGGGCCGTATCGAGTCAGGGAAGAAGTCCGAGATGGGACTTACCGTCTTAAAGCCATGAACGGCCGACCTATTCCGCGTACATGGAACACTGACAATTTGAAGAAATATTATGTTTCAGTTTAAGTACTTAGCCAAAAGCTGTATATACAGCTAGGTCTGTTGACCGAGCTATGTAAGTCGTACGACCACAACAATGTAATTTTGACAAGTTAATGAAAAGTCAAACATTGTTATTTTATTTTCCATTCAATTTATGCTTATTTACACGGTCACAGTCTACACAAAAATGCCGCGTGAAATTTGTGAGTAGGTTGCTTTCAACACAGCAACCCGGTCGCAGAATACAGTAAATTAAATAAAATAAAAATGGGCGACTTGACCCTGAGTCACATGTTTACGTCCGTCCCTCTCTGAGCCGGACGGAAAAGGTAAGGTACCCTATGAAACCCATCTAATGGGGCAAGGGCATACCTAGGCATTCCAGCCCAGCCAAACTTAGAAATTTTAAGTTGAGATCATACTTGAAATTTTCTGAGCGCGTCCGAACGATAGTGTCAACGGACAAACTCGCATAAAGCCACTCGAACGACCAAATAATGTGTTGATTCGGCGTACCACCTAGTCCAAGGGCAATCTTTACTATGATTTGATTGACTTGCTAGTAGTCATACCCCCAAGGTATAAATTCTACCAAGTCAATCAAACCACTTAAAATATGGACTAGGCGAACGCCGAATAAAGGGGCATACCCCCCCCCCCAATTGTACGAATATATAAAACGTAAAAAGTACGCGTAAAAAAAAAAAAAAGCAAAAACATGTAAAGTGTAAAATTTGCAAAGTATGAAGCATAATAGGAAAACTTGGAAAAAGACTGCTCAAAAGGAGGTAAAGTATTTTACATAAAACCGCACGAAAAGGCGACAGATAAAGAAAATAAAAATTAACAAAAACAAGGCAGAAAGAGCTGAAATCAAGGGGCGGCTGGAGTAGAAGCTGGACTCTAGCCTAGGCCACGCTCTTGAACGGCGGCAAGGGACGCGTCATCAACAGGCGTCTCCTTGCTCTCAGCCTCACCATCTTTGCTGGCCGCCACTTCTTCGTTTTCCTCCTCTTCTGAGGTAGTTGGCGTGACGTCCAGCTCAGGTGAAGGCTGCCCGGCCTTCTTAGCCTCTTCTCTGAGGCAAACAAAGTTAAGACGTTTGGTGAAGTGACAGAGTAAAGTCGTATCCCCAAATTAAAAGTAATACCTAAATCCTCTAACTAATGTAGATAGGGAAGTAGGGTCGAATCCACAGAGAAACGGATCTTTCTATTCCTAATTAATTAAAATAATCTGGATTATGAAGTAACCAATATTTATATTTGAATAAGAGACTAAACTACTAAGATTGAGAATAGAGAGAAAACAATATATAAAAGGATCTAGGGCATAGGTTCACCAATAAATAATATTCCAGGGTAAAATATAATAATCATTCATCAATGCATACATCAATCAGATTATAAAGGGCTTTCGCTACGTATTATAATCACTCAATTAATTTACCGGTATTAAATCTCATCTTTCGAATCTCGACTTAACCATTTATAAATCAACCTGCCTATTGAAACTAGACCTAAATATTAATTCTCATCTATCGAATCTCGAATTAATATTGCCAAACTCATGCATAAAAGATCAGGCCTAATCTAGTCACAGAGCATTAATTCAATCAATAGGAAATTAATCTAGCATTGATAATCAACAACAATAAATTACCCCTTCATATTATTTATGGATCCCCATAAACCCTAGAAATAAAACTACTCACACATATTAGAAATTAAACCAACCAAAGTAATAAAGCAAGACATGATAAAAGGAATAAAGTAAATAACTAAGATTAAGAGAAGAGAAATCGTTACCAAAATAAATCTGGAATTAAGAGTAGAATTAAGAACAAAGGTTTTTAGAGAAAAGAAATCTAAGAAAATAATTAAGAGAGTAAAGAAAGAGTAAAAAGGAGAAGAAGAGATACTAAAATCGTATTGCGGAGGAGTATTTATACTCCGTACAAAAATCCTAAATTAAAACAAATTAAAACGACGTTAAGCATCAACTAATAAATACACGCGCCCGATCGGGCGAGCCTTTTTTGCTCCCTAATAATAAACTCGCGCCCGGCCGGGCGCGTCACCGGGCGCCAGCCTAAGCTTCTCCAGCCCGGCCGGGCGCGCCTCCGGGAGCCAGCCTCTTTAGCCGGGCGGCTCATTTGGGCCAATATTTGGACTATGATTGGGCTGCAATTCTTCGAGCCAATCTGGATTTCCTCTTCCGGTCTTGAATACTCGGTCCAAATGCCCCGGTATCACCTATACTGAGCCCTTAATCACCGGTTCGATGGCTCTAACCGGCCCTGGGCTATAAAATCTGGTCGTGCTTTTCCAGTGTTCGTGATTGCTCCAAAATATCTCAGGAAAATACTCCAAAAGCATAAATCCCTGCAAAAGTCAACCAAATCTACGAAAACACTAGAAAACACGAATTAGTAATAAAAGTGGCTCTAAAGAGCCAAAAACACTACTAATTATGACCAAGGGATGGGGGTAAAATACTGTATAAAATAGAAACATCATGAAGCGTTCTTGATAAAAGGCCGCCTCGCCCTCGTCCACCATAAGCTCAAAAGCCTCAAAGAAGTGGCTCTCCAGCCTATCCTCAGCTTTCTGCTCAATGCGGACGACCTCATCCGCACTAGGGGCCCGAGGTGTTTGCAACTGGAGAGTTAAGTCCTCAACGGACTTCTTTAAACTTTCCACCTCGGCCTTGAGAACGTCCGCCTCGTCCAAGGCCTCCTTCAAGTGTTTTTGGGCCAAGGCCACATCACTTCGAAGCTTCTCGGAGGCCTCGAATCCTTCCCTCCAGCGCTGGCCGTCCAGGAGGGCCTGATCCCTCTCCCGTCTCATGGCATCTCTGGCCACGGACTCTTGCTCTAGGGCCTGGCCCAGCTTCACCAAATCTTCAGCCTGCTGCGTCGCTTTGTCGAACAGAGCGTTGATTTGGGTTTCGAAATTTCGGCGCTGGACGGTTGTTTCCCCAGTAATGGCATCGTAGGTCTTCTGAATCTGGGCCCAGGCATGCTTTAGCCTCTCATTATCCTTGTCCTTCCATTCCAGGAAGGCATTCAACCGCAGGAAGAGCTGCGTACAGGGAAAATGTGTTAGCAAAGTAAGAATGAAAAATTGACTAAGTGCATTTGAGAGAGAAATTACCTCGGCACTGTAGTTGATCATTGGTCCAAGGAATCCCTCATAGATCCTCCGCAGCTTGTCTCGCTGCTCAGTAGGGACCGCCCTAACCATGGCCTCCCTCATGGCCTTCATGTCCGGGCTCGTGAGGGATTGTCCGCGCCCGTGTAAGGGAACAAAAAATAAAAGTTTAGCTCAGGTTTAATCGGACTTGAAACAGCGAAGTAGAGAATTCAAAGTTACTCGGACTGACTGCAGAGAAGCTTGGAGGAGTAGGAAGATTGAAAGTGAATTACGGGGGCGGCGCAGGTTCGTCACCCTCCTCCCCCGTCCGGCCAGGCTGATCGTCGGCCGACTGAGAGGCTTCGAGCCAATCAGATTCGTTGACTGTTTGAACGGGCGAAGTCACTTCTGGCCCGGTCGGTTTTTCCGGGGTCGACTTTCCCCTATCGTCCTATTTCTCGGACCTGTCATGATCCGACATGGCGGCCGGATCTATGGACTTTGAGGCCCCGCTATCACTCAGTTGGGGTTGTTCTCCTTTGGACTGCTTAGAGGCAGTCTTCGACGTGGTCTTGGCCGCAGTAGTGGAAGTGGTCTTGGACGCGACCGTCTTCCTTTGTTAGGACGCCCTACCGTCCTTGTCCGTCTTGGATGCAGGGGACGACTGCTTCTGTTTGGACCTAGGGGTCGGAGTTGACAGCTGTAGAGGCAAAAGTTAGCGAAAAAAGAGCAAGATAATACAATTGATTGGCCGTGTCAAGTTAGGAAGAAGATCTCTTCCGTAATGCATACACGGACGAAAAGAAGAAATGGAGATGGGTATACTTACTCCTTTAGATTGCTCGTACATCTTCTAACGAGCCTTGTAGCGAGCTAAGTCAATCTTGTACGCCTCAGCTGAAAAAGAAAAGGAAAAAGTGTTAGAAAATCCTTCAAATTCAAATAACCTACGTATGTGTAAGAATATGTGTCCATGCGTCCACCTTGGGGCAGGTTCTTGTATAGGACATAGGCGGACATAAATGTAGGATCCCGCAGCCAGCTGGATAAAGGGACCCAGTTACTCGGAACGCGCTCAGTTTTGTCGTTCCTTTTCACCCGCTTGACCTTGAAATATTCAAGCTGGTACTCTTGGCTGGGGTGGACGGGTGGTTTATCAGGCTTGAGGTCCCCGCGTCCAAGCTGAATTAGCTCAGCATTGAACCGATTCATCCGCAAGTTAAATTCAACATTTGGTCTTGATGCGGTAGAATCGGTGCTTCCAGACACGCCATTTTGAGACGCGGTCCACCACCATCATGTAGTCTCTGGTGGAGCTCAGAATGAACCAGCCGTCCGTATCCGCGTCCAGCTTGGTTAGTGAGTGCATCTCACAGAAGACTGCAAAGTCTGGCTTGAAGCCTTTGCAGATGCACGTCACCAAATACCCGAAAATGTTCAACCAGCTGTTCGGCATCAGCTGGAAGAGGGCTATGTCGTATTCGTCCAAGATGGTGCGGACGAAAGGGTGGAGGGGGAAGCGCAGTCTGACATCTAGGGCCGCCCTATAGACACTAAAGGACCTTTGGCGCGACCTCTCTTCCTCCCAAGCAGCCAAAGCGCGTGACTTCCTTGGAGGCTGAATCTCGAATCCCTCCCCAAGATGGAGGAATGCCTTGTACTCCTCAAATTTGTAGTTCAGGCAGCCCAAGGTTGTGCTACCCACTGTGCAGGCGAACGGATCCTTGAAGTTGTCAATATTGGCAACATCCTCCTCGGCCGCCTCTTCGCCCTCAGCGGCCTCCGTTTCACCCTCGGTCGTTTTCTCGACCTCATCCTCCTCTGAGTTTGGGAGTATTCCTCAAGAAGAGGGGGTGTCCTCTTGAATTAGGGGCCTTTTGCCCTTGTCCTTGGCCCCGGCCGCCTGACTTCCGGTAGGAGGAGCTCTGCGAGGAGGCAGGTCGGCCGGTTCGTTAATTAAGACCTCAGTCCTTGGCCTGTCCGACCTGCCATATCGGAGATAGAGTTCTGCAGGAGTGGGTAAGGACGGATCAGCGTCCGCCCGAGAAGAAGAAGGAGGTCCTTCACAGAGTAGCAACTCGGCCCCATCCATGACCGAGTTGGCATATTGGGGGAACATTAATCCCGGAATTTGCCCGGACGTTCCCCCGCAGCAGAAGCGCCCTGAGTTCTTTGGCGCTCCTCAAAAGAAGAAGTCACTTCCACGGCCGAGTAGTGAGTACCCGTGGAAGCGGTCGTAGGAGTATTAGAAGGCGTTTCTAAGTTAGGGTTGTTAGGGTCATACGGAGGCCTAGGGTTCACCAGATTACCGTCTGGATTTCTGGCTGCATGACGATCGTACGTCTGCATCGTTCTTGCCATGTTCGTCTGCAGGGACAGATAAGAATGGGTGGAAGTGAGTTGGTACGCACTAGAAATGGACCCAATCCACGAAGGAGACAACTCGTCTCCGTCCACTCTAGACTCCTCAGTCCCAGGCGAACGGTCGGCCTCATGAGGAGAAACGGACGAAGCCGAGAGTTGAGCCAGATTTTAATGAAGAATAAAGAAATAAAAAATACAAGGAAAAGAAAACAGGTGACCTACCTCTGTACGTGTAGAAAACTTGAAAGTCTTGAAGGTTGACCGGAAAACTCAAAGAATGTGCTCGGAAAACTCAAGCACACGGCGGAGCTCTTGAAGATTCAAAGAAAATGGCACTTTCTCTCTCTAGAAGCTCTGACTTCTCTCTAGAAAATGCAAAGTTCCAAAGTATGAAAATGAGGTCAAACCTCTTGTATATATAGGACAAATTTATGGGGGTAGGACGGTAAATTCATCTTTCCCGCCTAACAAAATTGAACGGTTATAATTTGAAAATTTAACCTAGAATTTGAAGGGGCAAAGAGCAACGCCGTTAAAATAGGCGGAAAAGAAGATGACCTAATAAACGGCACGTCCAAAAATAAGTTGACAGAGCTAAGGCTCCCTCCGCAATGGCAAGACGACCGCATCTCCCAAAAGCGAGACGGCCTACCATTGTCCGCGCCATTCGCATAGATAGGCATTCACTCTAAATTGTCAGGCGGACAGAAATCTGTCAAAACCCTAATACACTTGTACGCCCCAAGGCTATTTGAGGTCAGAGGAGTCGGCCTATAAGCGTACGAGCCACCCCCTCTGAGGGGCAAATGTTGAGGGTAAAAATATCTCGTATACGTGGACCAATCCCGTAGTGACATGTGGCCCAGTTATAGGGTGACACGTGTCACCCCGGAAAGATGCCACGCATTCAGCTCAAGAGCACCCAAGGTTTCAGGCCAATCTCGTAGCGACATGTGGCCCAGTTAGAGGGTGACATGTGTCGTCACGAGAATATGCCACGTGTTTAGGGCATGTGTTCCCTTTAAATCAGCACGCCAAAGAGGCCTAACAACGTCAGGGCCCAAATCCCAAGAGATATCAATGAAAGCCGCAAAGCGGCGCCCCCAAAGTAACACGTGGCCTTCACTGATTGCGCAACCAATCACGTCACGTAAATCTAGGGTACAAACCCTAGAAAGGGGCACGAGTCCCACCCCTATAAATACCCCAATCATTTATGATGGGGGTGGATTAAGACATTTACAAACAACAGAACATTAAATAGCTCCAACTTCTCTCTACTTTCTCTCTCTAGCCTTTTCCATTCCGATCACTAACTTGATCGTCAGAGGCGAATATTCCGTTAACCGGAATATTTGTTGTTTTGCAGGTTGGACCGTCTCGTTGCCAGGAGAGCGTGACTAGTATCACAGGAAATCCAAAAAACACCCGCAACACAGCCCGCAAGAAATTTCTGTAAAATTATGCATTTCCAAACCTGAATTTTTTTTAGATAAATCGACAAAAAAAAAAAAAAAAACAGCATTTCAAAACCTGAAATTGTTGTTTTAAAAAAATTAATTACCGACCTACGAAATTATATTTATTTACATATATGTATAATAATTATGTCCTAGTACAAAAGATAGTCCACATTTTGGTATCTATACCAAACAAAAGCTATGTTAGAGTGATTCTATGCTAGACTAAAGCTAAGCTTTGCAATCGCCTGGAAACCCTGGCCTGCTCCACCACTACCCGGGTCGTCCCTTGGGTCTCGATGGTGAGGATGAATGGTGGAACATGAGTCGTTGTTGGTGAAACGACTCATCATCTCATCCATACTCTCCTTGTATCTCCTCTCCATTTCAGCCATTCGGGAGTCAATTCGCCTTTCCATCTCGGCTTCCATTTGAGTTTGGAGAGCATGCACCTTTTGTTCCATCTGGTCTTGCATTTGAGAAATGACAGACGGCGTGTATTGCTGTGAAGAACGGGAAGCTCGACCCATCCGGTTGCCATAGTAGATGTTTAGGGTAATTTTACCCTGCCACGTGGCCCAATCAGAAGGTGACACGTGTCAGCCCCAGATTGGTCTAAAATGGACCAATCCCTGCTCGACACGTGTCATTCCCAAAATCAAGGGAAAAGGCGGCCTTCAGGCCCAAATCCCGAGAATGCCGCCAAACGGCGCAGCCCACCAATGATTAGGGTTCAGTAACCTAATCAGGGGCACAATTCCCAAAGACCCTATAAATAGGGAGATGTCCCTCATTTTGACAAAACGGGTTTTTTACCATTTATTACACATTTTACTCTTTGATAGAGACATCCTGAGCTTGGAATCCGAGCAGATCCCCACTTAAATTTCCGCACCTTTTTTCTCCCTTCAAGTTTCTAACTTGTGCGTCGGAGGCGGAGCACCACCCAACTGGTGTCTCCGTTTGTTTTGCAGGTACATCTCACCCCGGATCAGTTTTTGTGTTGTAACTCTCCCGAGGGACAAAAACACCCAAAACATTTGGCGCCGTCTGTGGGGAGAGTACCTCGAAGATGGTTCAAGAGTCTGTACCAACCCCTAACCGTCCGGGCGAAGACCCAGAAGTCTTTACAGACCATGAGGAGGATGAGGATCCTCAGGTCGAAACCTCTACAGCCGAGGACGGCTCTCTCAGAGTCAAGCGCATCCGGCCCAGAGAGACTCTGGAGCGGGGCGCCTCCCAGGCGGGTCCGAGCAGACCTACTGGGCAGCCGGAAGGGGCAACCCAAACGGCATCTAGATCGGCCCC